AGGCTCGAGAGGTCGAGGCTAGAGAAGTCGAGGCCCCAGACCTCCTCGGGCCATTCCAGGCCTCTGCATGGGATCCCTCGCCGGGCCCGGGGACCGTCAGAAAGCGACTCGGGATGGGAAACGGGTCCCGGGGAATGGGCCGAGACCTCGGAGCCCACGTCATGAAAAAGACACGACGTCGGGGGCTTGGGATCGACGATGGTGAGGCTTCGCGCTGCGCACAAACCGCCCCGCTTCCAGCGACACCGTTGCCCCCCCCCCCTCCCCCTTCCGCCTTGCTCGTCCCCACCTTCTCTCTCGTTCCCCCAGCCGTTGGGGGCGACGCGATGATTCACCCCCCTCCAACCCCCCCGACCCGACCTCACCTCGCCGGGCCGGGTGCGCTCCTCCTCGCCGCCGCGTCGCAGCGACGCGTCGGAGCGCACGGCCCCCGTGTGAGGGAGAAGAGGGACGGCCCCGCCCCGCCTTCGTCCATCCCTCCCCCTCCGCCCCGTCCCGCCTTCATCCCTCACCCCTCTCCCCCCCCCTCCGTCCACCTCCTCTGCCTCCCCATGGCTCACCACCCCGTCACCCTTCCACCCGTCCCCCTGTCGCCACCTCCTCCGCCCCCTCATCTCGCCTCACCCCTCCCTTTCCCCTCCTCCCCCCCCTCCCCACCCTCCGCCTCCGCAGAAGCAGCAGCCTCTCTGGCTCAAAGTGGCCAGCCTGGGCTTTTCCGCAGCGCCAATCAAGCGCCCTCTCGACGCCCGCAGCGTGGTGTTGCCAGAGACTGCCCGCAGCGCCCGCCGCCCATTCCCACGGCCGCCCATGCCGCCGGCGCACGCTGGGCTGAAGTGCTCCCTGGACGAGGTGCCTCGACTTCGCTCAGACAATTGCCAGCCTGCCCCCAGAGATCCGACGCTCCAAAAAAATTGGAGCAGGCGGTTTTTGGCCTTTTTCGGCCTCTTGGGGCCCTCGCCGGGCCTCGGGAGCGTCAAAAAACGACTCAAGACAAAAAACTGGTCCCGGGGAAGTGGTCCTGACCTCCAGGGCCCACGCATCGAAAAAATTGGAGCAGCCAGATGTCTGGGCCCACTGAGAGCAAGAAGACTCTCCATGCAGAGCGCCAGCCAGGGAGTAGGGCGAGGAGGGAGAGGAGGAGGGGGGCAGGCACCAGCGGCAGCGTCTGTGCCCCCCCAGCGCTCAGTGCCAGTGCCCCTTGTGCGTGCTTCTGTTTCTGTGTCCCCTGGGGGGCGCTCTCGGGCACAAGGGCCTTGCACCGAAATGGATCCGGGGCGGAAGAGTGCCCCTGGGGGAAATGGGTCGGGATCCGTTTCGGCGGAGCCGTAAGGTCTTTGTTTATCTTTGAGCTGAAGAGCAAAACACTGTATAGACACATTTTCTCAGAGGTCCGCGCGGACATCCGAGAACATATGTTTACCCTTGTTCTCCCCCGGCAAGGGCGTGGGCCCAGGCGACCGGGGTTATGATTAGTAGTGCCCATTTTCCCCCAACCATCAACTTGCGCTGGGAGGGCTAATTTTTCCTTCGTAAATAACGAGGTCGCGCATGGCCTGCGAATTACTTGGTTGAGGATGTCTGGAACGAAATGGTTGTTTTATATGTTATGGCTCTGTTGTCTCAAGCGAAACGTTTGCTATGCCGATCTTGGGGATGTCTCGAGCGAAACGCTGGTTATGCAGAACACGTTGAGAATGTCTAGAAAGAAATGCGTGCTTTGCAGAGTTTGAGGAACCTGGATGCCCCAGGATGCCCCAGGATGCTCCAGGAGGTTCTGAGAGGGCACCTATCGGATCCTCGTGACTGTCGCACTCTCGAGGGGCCCAACAAAGCACAGTTCAACACAACACGACGCAGCACATTTCAGCACAGCACGGATCAATCGCAATGTTTGCAAGGATCGGGCTTGTGGGGACGTACATCTTTGGCGCGCATCCTTTGTAATTCACAGGTATTGGACCTCGGAGTGCGGCTCGTTTGGCAGGAGACGCCGTGTGGTTTTCCGGAGGAAAAGCCGGCATGTATTTGGCTCGTTCCAGTCGCGGTTCGCCTTGCCTCGATTCAATGAGGGTCGGTTCGGCCCTCGTCTGGCTTCGTTTTGTTTCGGTATGTCTTGTCTCTGATCGTCGCGTTTCGGTTTGCTGTCTCGGTCCGTCCATTGTCGGTGCGTTTCGCCTCACTTCGGATTCGCCCCCTTTTGGTTCATCCCGCTTCTGAACTGATCGGATCTTGAGCTCGAGCTGACTGAGCGCCCCGCACTCATCGATTGCAACCAGCTCTGGGCCAGCTGCGCGTGCAAGCAATGCGAGCTTGAGATCCACATTAGTTCGTCGGGATTCGGATGCCAAGGACGACTTGATTCAGGTTAACGCGGCCTGGCACATTTCATTTCAACGCAGCACAACACAGCAAAGCCTCTGTCACGGTACATCGGCATCGACATTTTCAGCATTGCAATTGCCCGTCGTCTTGTCAGGTGGTTTGAAGACGTTTCCATACCTTACATGTTTGTGTTTCTTGCCAGGTGCGTGGGTCAATCAGGCTTCTCGGCCCACATTGGCGCGCGCGAGGAAATTGCAGCCGTGGGTCGAAGCACCCTCCATGTGTCGGTCTCTCCAGGCGGAATGTTCAAAGTTTTAATTTTCAGCGCCCTGGTTGTATTCAAAGGCCCTGAGCCGATGCTTCGAGGTGCCTGGCGCGGGCGGCGGGTGCGACGTCGACCCCCTGCTGGAGATCAGGCGCCGGGTCGAGTCGAGACCCAAACGTGCTGTCGTCGCGACGAATGAGTCGGACGGAAGATTTTTGGCCGATTTCGACCTCTGGGGGCCCTCGCCGGGCCCTGGGGACACCAGAGAACAATTCGGGGTGAGAAGCTGTCCGCGCGGAACGGGGCGGGCCTTCCAGGGACCGCGCGTCGACGAGATCTATACATCGGATCTTCGCAGGCGAAAACGTGTCCGTATCCGCGGCCTCGCGGGCTGGCTGGGCCCCCGGGTCGCGACCCCGCGGGTGCGGTGCGTTTTTTTCGCGGAGGTCCCGCGCGGAACGTCTCCGTGCGACCGCACAGCCGCAGGACCACACCCCGGGAAGCTGGAGCGCGCGGGCGCGGAGTTGCGGAGATGGTCGCCGCTCGTGAGATCTCCGGAGATGGGGCCCGGGCTCGACTTTCGGGCGAAGAGAGTTGCGCACGTGCACCGACCTTGGTTAGGCCCATCCTGGGCCCAGGATTGGTGCATATGCTTTCCTGGCCAAGGCAGAAGGGCGTATGCACCGATCCTGGGCTCAGGATGGGCCTGGCCAGAAACGGTGTACGTGCATCGTTCTCTTTCCTTTAGACTCAGGGGAAGAAAAGATACCGATACTGCTACCCGTCCTTTTGCACCACGGCTGGATTTGCTTCGGAATCCTGGTCAGAACGCGTTTCACTAGAGGTCCGGGGAGTAGCCGTATCCGTATCCGTTGGTTCCCTGGTTATTTGCCCTGATCCTTGATAACTAATTACGCCCGCGGTGAACCGCAACCCGCACCGTGCTAACAAGTCCAGCTTAAACACGCTGCGTGATGATTCAAAGCGTGCTGACCGACGTTGCATGAGCTGCGTCTTCGTGCAGCAAAGTAGGTGCGACTTTTACGTATACCCCACTTCGTGGGCAAAAGAACACGCCCATATCCGTAACTTCGCGTACCGGGTCCCTGGGCTGCGACCCAGCAGATACGGAGCGTCTTTCCGCGGATGCCCTGCACGGAACGTACCCGTGCGACCGCGTATCCGCAGGATCGTCCCCCGAAATCCAGACCGCGGGGGCGTGGATATGGATACGTCCGCCGCTCGTGACCTTCGTTAGGGTGTTGCACTTCATCTTTCTGGCCAGCGTTGTGCCGAACGTATCGCGCCAGATGCCCCCAGTCTGCGTGTTGAGATCCGTGTCCAGACGCTACGAGCTGCGCGCTGCGTATCCGGGCAGCTGAGGGTCGGAGGCGTCCGCGTCCAAAGGGGTAGACATCATGGCCAGGACCGGGCGATCCCCCGTTTCTCAGGCCCTATCTCCTTCCTTCAGCACGTCCCTTGGTCTGCCCCGCCCCCTGGTCCGCTCGCAACTCGGGGGTCATGATGTGCACTCCCCCTCTTCCTGGTTCCCCTTTTCGGGGGCGGAGAGAAGTCGGCGAGGAGGAGGTCGAGGAGGACGAGGAGGACGAGGAAGAGGAAGAGGAGGAGAAGGAGGAGGAGGAGGAGGAGGAGGGGGAGGGGGAAGGGGAGGGGGAGGGGGGAGGAGGAGGAGAAGTAGAAGAAGGAGGAGGAGGAGGACGAGGAGGAAGAGGAGGAGGAGGAGAAGGAGGAGGAGGAGGAGGACGAGGAGGAAGGCGGAAACAATCCGGGCGAAGAATTCTGTACCTCTCCACTCCGCCCATGGCCAGGCCCATCCTGGGCGCAGTGTATACCCCGGATTTCATGATAAAAAGGAGGGGGTACATTTGGGGGGGGGCTATTTTGGGTGCAGGAGCGTTCCGGAACGCTCTCAGAGCCTTCGGATCGCTGTGAGCAGGCCGCGGCGCCCGAGACGTCTTCCAGAACGGCCGGACCTCAGAGATCCCCGATGCACCTTCACCCGATTCTGTCCTCGCCTTGGCTCAGTCTCGTGGGGCGAATCGGGGCAGCAGGTCCCGCCCTTGCAGAGCAGGGCTCGATGCCGTCGCCGCGGCGGGCGTCGTGCACTCGAGGCAGGCCGCGGTGGCTCAGCAGCAGCCGCCGCTGGCCTCTCTCGGGTAGCCTCTGGCGTCGGGCGGCGTTCCCGTCTGTTCCGCCCGCGCGCCAGGAACGCCAAAAATCAGGAGGGAACACACGCACACACGGACACAGACACGAAGATTTGTCGTCCCCCAGGAAGGAAAAAGCATTGGAAAACATGGCCCGAGGAATGAGGCTCGCGGAGAGGTCGGCGCGCTGGGCAAGGCCAAGGCCGTGCCGAGCAGCGCTGACTGTCCGCTGCTGCAGAAGTCGTCTCCAGAGTTCGTCTTCCGGGTTCCGTCCTGCAGCCTCCGGGTGTGACGCCATGGATGTGAAGACATATGGCAGGTGGAGGGGAAGACGAAACTCCAGGACGCATGGAAGAATCTTGGGCGTCCTGGGATACCGTGGTTCTCGAAAACAATGCCCATCTCTAATGCGTGCTGAAGCGGGCCCAACCCCCCTGCCCCGAGTTCAAAGTTCGGGGTGGTCGACGCGGGGGAGTGCGAGTCGTTTCGAAAAAAAGTGCCCACATTTGCAAGCCGCGGCCCGCTCCCTTAGATGAACACTGAAATGGGGGGCGCGGGGGGCGCTCTTGCGCCACCGTCTGGTCGCTGCACCTGGGCGCCTGTTTTCCGAAAACGCCGGTATCACCCCTTTTTATGTTGCTCGGGAGCCTTGAGGCGGGGGTCAATGCAGACGGGGGTCAGCCAGAGCGCCCGACCTTGCAGGATCCTGCGGGGCCAGGGGCGCACTGACCCGGGTTTGGGAGCAGGATCCTGCAGGATCCTGCAGGATCTTTCGCGCCGACCCGGGCTTGCGCGCAGGATCTTGCAGGATCCTGCGAGGCTCGACTGACCCGGGTCCGGATTGACCCCGGTCAGAAGGTCCCCGAGTTGTGCGCCCCTGGGCCCGTTCAGACGAGGCGCGCCCCCACGCGGGGCCGGTGCTGCGGCCGCGGAGGAGCGGCCCCGCCTCGGGCCCCTGGCGTCAAGTCGGGCCCGTCCCTCTACAAGAGGAGATATTCAAAAACAGTCAACAAATAGTTTGGATCTGGGGACTATTTTTGGAGTATGTTTGATTATTTTGATTTTTTTAGTATTTTTAATTGTTCGTCGAAAATCCCCCTGTAGGGGGACACGCCCGAGTTAACCCTGGGGTGCCCCCACGGCCGCGCCGTGAGCCGGCCACGCGCAGAGGGGGGGCAGGGGGAGGGGGGGGGGCTTCGAGGTCTCGTGTCGATTCCTCCGATTCGGTTCAGTTCGATTTCGATAAGTTCCGACTACGATTCGATTCGACTTCGGATTCCGATTCGGATGCCGATGTCCCAGCGAGGCCCCGCTGTTCTTTCGATTTTCGCCGATTCGACTCCTCCCGACTTGGCTGCCGATTTCCGCCGATCCGATCCATTTCGATCGGCGATTCGACATCGATTCAATTCTAGGCTCTCCTGGGCTTCTTAGAAACACCCCTGGTTCTTAGAAGGCGTGGGGCCCGTCTGTAGATTTGAGGCCCGCGCCTTCTAAGAAACAGCCTCCTTCTGAGAAGCCTTCCCCCTTCCCCCTGCCCCCCTCTGCGCGCCGCCAGGTGAGGGTGGTCAGATGGCCGACCCCCTGTCATCAGCCCTCGACCCTATGTCCCCAGACCCCCCCGGGCAATGAAACAAACCATGACGGGAGGCATTTCCATATTTTCTACCTCTGGAGGCCCTTACTGGCCCTCGGGGCTTCGGTGTCGTGTTGGGGTGGCCGACCGTTGCGAGTGGTGCAGCCATAGCAGCGAAGCTCCGACGTTCAGTCATACAGTCGGGGCCCTGAAGAAGGAACCCTTTTCGTTGGGGAGGGGCTTCGTGTTCCTTAATTGTTTCGCAGCTTGCCTTGGATTTTCCCTAGGTATTCGATACGAAATCGAAGTTCAACATATGGAAAATAGGGGCCTCGTTCCTTATTTAGTGTTCCTTAGGTCAACGCCTCGACTGTGCTCATAACTCCATTGTCGTCGAGAAAAACGGGCCCAGGGGAGTGGGTCGAGACCTCTTAGGGTCGGCGTCATGAGCAAATGATGACGTCGGGGGTCTGGGCCCCCGGAGGTTTTTTTTTCGTCGCGCATCGCTTCTGATGGTCTCGGGCCCGGCAGCAGCTGCAGGAGCTTGGCGTCGGCGGCGAGCGAGGGAGGGAAGGGAGAAGGAGAAGACCTTCTCGGAAAGCTCGCAAGCCCCCCAGCCTTCTGAGAAGTGTCCTAGGCCTTCCCCGAGGACACATGACATCTCTTAGAAGGCGCGAGGGCTTCTGCGAAGTTCCGCCGCCTTCTGAGAATCGAAGAAAAAACATCATAAACATAAACGTGTAGCGCTCCGCGCGGATTCCTTGGACCAGCGCTGGGCCCTCCTGGCGGCGCCTCCAGCGCCGGGGCGTCCAGCGCAGATCGAAGGTATCCGCGCGGAGCGCCAACAATTTATTTTGCTTCTGCAGTTTTTCTTCTTCTAGAGATGGTGTTCTCCCTCCTCCTCCTTCACTTCCTCCCCTCGCTCGCCGCCGATGGCCTCGTGGAGAGGCGCGGGGACCGAGCAGGGCCACCGCGCCCGAGGGGTCTGCGGGGGGCCCGGCCTCTGGCTCGGGGGGGGCGCCGCTCGGGCGGTGCTTTTGGCGTCGCTCGGGCGTGGGCCTTTTGCATGCTGGCCCCGGTTCGGTTCGCTTCGGTCCGGGTCGGTGCGCCTTCGGGCCGTCCGGTTCGGGCGTGGATTAGCGACGGGTCCCGTTTCCATCGGAAATCGC